TTGGATATTTATTTATAGGGAGGAAATGTCCGGACCAAACGTAATTTCTAATGTTGGATATTCCCCCTTACCAGAGGGAGCCCCCTTGTGGCGTACTGTGAAGCCGTTACCATGGCAACTCCACTGCGCTGTACAGTAGAAGTCAGTACAGCAGTACAGCACAACAGGCTGTATCTAACAGAACAAACACCCCGAGGGGTGTTAGGGGTGTCTTACCCCCNTAATTTTCCTTTATTAGTGACCCAATTCTGATACAATTCAGCTACCTTAATTTCTGAGGCTTTCTTCTTGTAGACCGGTGATGTCAACCAAACCAATGCAAAACAAAAGGTAGAGATGCTAAAGGCATATTTGTATACATGTATATACATATAACCTCTGTGTGTGTGTGTGTGTGTGTGTGTGTGTGTGTGTGTGTGTGTGTGCTATGTACATACACATAATGAGGCAGAGAAAGAAACCGAGAGAAAGAGAGAGAAAAAGCGAGAAAGGCAACCAGGGATAGATACTGTATATAAATTAAAAAAAATCCCTAGTTAGAGAAAGAAGTTAGAGATTTCACCCTCTTTTGTAATGGAAAAATTTAGGATAGGGGCTGAAGTGGACCTTCTAGTACAGCCTTCTCCAGCCTGGTTGGGCCACAATTTCCTGCCTGCCTTCCCCACACCAGCCAACATGGCCAGTGAGAATGGTTTTGCAACGTATTAGGAGGTCTCAAATGGAGGAGGCAAACATGACAGATTCATATGTAAAGATTTAGTGAGACTGTTTCTATTGGTTCATCCCTCTGTATTGCCACAACTCTATGTGGTCTTACTTCTTCTCTCATCCTTTCTTCAGTATTTCACATGGTAGATAAACGTACATTAATGTATGTCTTGGTGAACATTTGTGTATGCTATTTAGAATGAGTTGACAGTTGCCAATCACCTGGACGTGCAAAGCGCTTCTTTTTGAGGACTGCTAAAGAAGCTGGATTCTGGTTGTTCTCCAAATCTATGCCTATGTTTTGTATCCTCTTGCTCCACAAACTCTGGGCTTGATATTTCCATCCACAAATGGGCATTTTTGTAATGCAAAGCTTTCCTTTTCTTGTTTTTCCCCCAGACAGGAACCAAATTCTAGATGTTGTATGACAAAAATGCAGAGGAGACCCGTAGTTTTGATGCAGGGAACATATTTAGGGGAGCTGCTGCTCAGTTTTTTTGCTCAACCATAGGAATGTGAAGTGACCTTTAATTTACCTTATTTCTTTCCAGGACAATTAGCAGTTTAGAAGCATGAATGATCGTTTTCCTCCTCATAATGCAGATTTGATCCCAGTGTCTGAATCGCCACCTCATATGATGATAAGAAGACTCCCCCAGGATTGGGGGGGGGGTGTCTTTTTTGGTTAAACAAACATCCATTACACAAAAGAGCCCAGACGTGTGATCAAAGGCCATGTCCCCAAGGGAAGAGAAATATATTTTCTATCTTTCAAAGGAAGACTTGGAGTAGATAGCTGCTTACCATGCTGTTGATAAAAAAGAATAAGATCCAGAGGTCCTGTTGTCTAGAATGGATTTCTGTCGTTTGTTATAAGTTATCCATTAAACAAAAATCCCAAGGATTTTTTTCTAATTTGGAAGGCAGGAAATAGATTTTAAAATTGATTAAGATGTTCCTACTGTTGTCATTGTAGAAAGTTCTGCTGTAGTTTTGGAGAGATTCAATCTCTAAACAGGGCAGTGGGACACGAGGCACCAGGCAGCTCAAGTTCTACCAGAACTGGATCTTGTATATAGGTCTGTTCTGAAGAGTGAGAGGATGTTGCTAGTCTATGGTTTGATTGTTAATTCTTATCCTACCTTTGCAGCAGAAGTTAATGGGGGGAATACGCAATACCCTCCCTTCTAGTTGTAACCCTACAACAATAACTGCATGGTTTGTTGGGCTGAAAGCGATCGCTGATATACTTCTGGGGCTACAAACTGTCCATCCATCCCTTTACCTTTCTGTGAAAATTCAAATGGAAATTGATTTCTAAAATCCACAAGTGGGTAAGATCTTCAGTAAGATCAAGAAAAATAGCACTAAAGAATCTGCAAGCTTCTGAGTTCTCTAGATTTATTGTACACTGCCCATAGTCCATTTGTGAGGGAGACAGGCAGTTCATAAATGTGATAAATAAGCAAATAAATACAATTCCTTTTCCCAACAAAATGTTACAGAAGACGGTCAAGGGTTGATTGAGCTTTACTTCTTTGTTAGAGAACATAATGCAGCAGAACACTATCATTTTGTCCTTTTTCAAAGACCAGGGATGGAGAGGTTGAAAATCAGCATGTCCCAGTCCTAACCCCAAACAATGCAGGAGTGAAAAATTGTCTTACTCTCAATAGATATCTAATGTGGCTGCAATACTACCATTGCTGGCTGGAGCTCCTAGAAACATTGGAAAAGGAAAATGACAGGCGGCGATAGATGATAGATAGATAGATAGATAGATAGATAGATAGATAGATAGATAGATAGATAGATAGATAGATAGATATAGATAGATAGATAGATAGATAGATAGATAGATATTTAGATATAGATATAGATAGATATAGATATATAGATGATAGATAGATTTATAGATAGATAGATAGATAGATGATAGATAGATAGATAGATAGATAGATAGATAGATAGATATAGATAGATAGATAGATAGATAGATAGATAGATAGATAGATAGATAGATAGATAGAGGAGATAGATGAC